AGATCTATTATTATTGTTTCCTCTTTGAGCCACAAATATGAATAAACAACCGGCTAGCTAGCAAAATGATTTATTTATAAAATAACCTGTATGATCTGAAGTTGGTTTCAATTCCACAATGTTTGTATCGCTGCCGAGTCCCAGACTGTACAAAATATTTTAGCAGATTTTGTAAGACGATGAGTTCCTGCCTACTTAACCTACATATTTATATGTTATGGAAAAACAAACAAAGAAAAATCGTCATCTATATATTCTTGAGCAGTGCAAATACTATCAGAAATTCCTCGAGATGTTACCTACTACGACCACGTTTCTTAGTCGTCCATCAGTCATTGGGTTTCAGCTATTGAATGAACCGCCGTACGAGGTCACTCAGCAAACATTCAGACCGGTTCCAACAAAATCACCTCAGCGAGTGGTAAGATATGTCCGTCCACTCCCATGCTGAAGCACCATCGCCAACAACACTAATATCGACCCTAAAACCTTCCGCACAAGATCCACACTCAAAAGCATCAAAGGACTTATCGCATCGTTAAAATTAAAACTTTCCAATTCAAACCTTATCGTAAACGTGTAAGAAATAATTCTGTTAAACTTCAGTTCGTTAAATGTCATGTGAATTCCTTATTGAATTAAGCGTTATCAGATGAATTTGGTTACTTTACGCTTTTGTTAATGCCCATATTAAGTGATAAGAAATACGTTGTCACTTAAACCTAATGGGCTACTACGTAAAAGGGTTGAGTGGTGAAGCATAATGTCATAAAAACTCTCTTTTTTACATGCTTCAAATAATAAACATAAGTTGTCAATAAAAGATCTGAAATGTAGCAAAAATACTTAATATAGATACAAAGAAAAGCCTTAGTATGGTAACATAATAAGACATGGTCCAAGATGCTACCGCAGGTTTAAGCTCATTAATGAACCGCAAAGAAGCCCTTGCCTCACACATACTCGAAGCGTGTGAAGAAGGGATTGACAATGAAACAATTCTCACATTAACACATAACAATAATACATACTAACAATATTATTCAAGTCACACAATTTCCCAGGAGCATCGTAAATATAACCTTTGAAATACGCCGCCTATAAAGTTGAGTCTAATCTTAGAAAATTAAAACTAAAAACGAAAATAAAACACTCAATATTCCTTAGGGTTGCACATATTCCAGGTAAAAATTCAGCATAACATGATTAAGTAGTATTCTAGAGTTCTAGTCTTTGATGGTAATATGTATGCAGATAAAAAGCTCCTAAAAGTCCGGGTATGAATTACTTCTTCTAAGTCAGCGAGTTTATTTACATTCATGACTAACTGAATAAGTTGTATTCATCACATTGATAAAAAGTTTGTTCGGGCGATCGTTAACCCCTTATATTAGGATTTAAGGCAATTGTCGCTGTAGACTCAGAGGCAAATTTTGTTGTTAATAACTACTAAGAACGTTTGCAAAATAAAACTGTATTTATAGCTTCTCGCAAAATTCTTGTCAAATTCTGTAAGAAAGTTCTCACTAACTTAAGTTTACCTTCAGGTTTAAGACAATATTAGATAACGAAACATGATAATTTTATTTCAAAGTAAGTTGCTAGACCGACGGTTAAGATACTAATGAAGTTTCACACATCACATATTTTGAAATTCGCCTTAATTATGAAAAATTTAAGTTCACGTCACAAATTTTACAAAAAACGATTTAGAGTCAATATTTTTAGTATTTATCGAACTTTTAGAAAAAAAACAGCTCGGGTTCGTTTATATGTAGATGACAGCTGAACAAAATGGTGAAAACCACTTTAAACAAGAGAACAGAAGCATTTGTGATTATGTTAACATCGTTGCCCTCTCTGGAAACTTTTTTCCAATTGGAGAGACTAGTTTTTGAAAACAATTTCAATAGCACGTTTAATCAGTTCAATATACATCACTGAATAATTATTTATCAATACCACATCAACAAAATTACTTAAACAAACAAGCACAATAAACATTTTGTACGCCTCATGCATTATTTTCATTCTGTACGTAGCATATCTGATGCATTCATTTGTTCATATCAACTAAACTCGTGTTACCAAAAGAAAACGTTTTTATCTTAATTGAATTCCTAACACGTAAAGGACATTTTTACCGTTTTTCCACCTTCTACAGTACGACTGATTTTTAACATTAGAACAAGTACATTGTAACTTTTACTGAAAGCTTTTTTATGGCGGTTTATCAAAACCTAGATGGTATAAAATATTTACAAAACTATAGTTCTATACTTGACTACTCTTGTATCTAGATTTTCCCATGTAAAAACATCTGCCATTGCTTTAAGTTATCGTGGGTAAAGTTCTTTTGAAACAGGTTTTGTATAAAAATAAACTAAGGTCTATGTAATGAGTTGTGCAGACGGCAATGCTAGAGTACCTCGAGCAAAGTTGTTAGAAAAAAAATATTGGCCCCATACAGAGCTGTAACCAGCTTCACAATTATTTTTTATATTGTACCTAAAGTCATTCTAACAGTAATACTCAGTTTCGTTAGAACTCATAACTTTTAAGAAAACGTAGAGCGAGGAACAGGCAAATTTTAAATTACCTAATGTTTTTTTATAGACGTGTGAAGTTCTAATTCCAGTAGCAATCGATTCTTGTTTTTAATAGGTATTTGATTTGAGTTATTTGTCAAAAGTATTTTTACTACAGTGTTTTATACAATTGAATATTCATAGACAATCCTTGAGAATTTAAAAGACATTTAAATATATCAATTATAAAAACATGAATAATATCAATTAGGTATAGTAATTGATATTCAAGAACGTACTTCCAATTTTTATACAAATATTCGTGCAATTAATGGTTCATGAAGTCTAAAGTAACAGCATTACTCTTTTTTAATTCTCATTTAAAATTTCCATAAAATAATCAATTTATATCTCCTACCAACTGTAGTGATAATGATTTATGAGCTTAAAGGGGTTTTTATTAATTGATGAAACGAGATCCCTGTCAGTTTCTTCTAGATAGGACTACGATCGGCATTCCGGACCCGTGAGCCTATCTCGAGACGATTGCAAAAAAGGCCTCCATTTAAAGAAAGAAAAAACATTAAACGATTTTTCTTCATGCCGCACTTAATATTAGATATAATGATTTTCATCTGTTACTTTGATGATAATAGAATTATGTGAAAGTCTAATTTTGCAAAGGTCAACGTGGAAGACCTTAGTATGAAAACCGGTTTGATTGTATCTAACAATTTGCAGACTCGCATTCTTGCTGTTATGTTGATGTCAAATGAAGGTGTACAAAAGTACACATGTCTTAATGTTTCATTGAACTTCCGAAGCATATCAAATGCAAATTATATATTGGATAATACTTTTACGTGGGAAATTTAAATCATTCTATCTACCTAGTTTGTATTCTTAAAGCGCAAAATATATTCGTGGCCTAATTATGGAAAATTAACTCCTTCTTTGTCAGGTGCTAAACCGATAAAGAATTGGCTGTTGTTTGTCTAGACTTCTTACTTTTACTATTCATTTAAAATTTCTGCTAGTTGTAAAGCTCCTGTATTATAGAATACTTACTTAATTTGTGAAGTATTTAAATTAGTTAATTTTTCTACAATATAAAATTATCTCTGTATAGTTTAGTATTTTATGGTTATGAATATCATAATCATGGCATGATATTCATAACCATAAAATGGCATGGATCTCTACATTATTGATTTTGCTACCAGCTGCTTCTAAGTCTTCGGTATTATGTTGTTTTGATAAGGTAAATGTGTACCAATTACATGTCGGATAAATCATACGTCATAGTAAATATCAATGGTAGTGTTTCTACTAATGTGCAGTTGTTCTAGTGCTCTCTGAGATATGCGGCCGCCAGATATAAGTGTACTTAGGTTGCCTGCAGAAACAAACGCGGAAGCAAATAGTTACGGTCTCGACCAAGAAAGTTTTGAAATACAGGATTTATGGCAATTGTCTTTGAAATTAGGAGTGCAATTGTGAGAATTTTGATGATAGCCAATAAACATGTAATTGCCAATTTGTAAAACCAGTCTGCGCTTTTCAAATGAATGATAAAAGTTGCATTAGTTGTAACGAAACTTTTTAACCGACTCCACTCCGGTTATTGTGAAATAGGTAACGAATACCTAAAATAGAGAATTCACTTGATTCCTTTGATATGAAATTACGCAATAGATCGACAAATCTGATACAGAAAGACCTTTATGGAATGTACAGCCTTTTTTAAAACACGTAACAGATGTTTAGATAATGTAGAGAGAGGTAAATCACAAGACGAAAATCATAGAGCGTGAACATACTGCAGTTTCAGTTGAAGATTAAGTAACGGAGCACAAATGATTCTGATGATACAGATATTATGGTAATGCAACATGAAAAACTTAAGACAACAATGAGTTTAGCGACGCGTGCGAGCAAATTATCATCCGTTGAACACGGAACATTTTTTATCAGACCATTCACAAATAACCGCCACTTGAGACCGTTACCACCTGCCTACTATGAGTACAAACCTGATGACTTAAGAACTCGGCTCTCGAAAAACTCGATTCAAATTGAAACGGACAAAAATGTTGATAACGAGCAATCGATGACTCGAAACAAGAATGCCAACACGTAACAGTTATTTATTATGGTTAACGAACTAGTATTTAATTATGTTATACTCGGAAATATCTCGTTTTCATACAGTTACAGATTGAGTAACATGCCTATCTATAACCTGAACTGAAATATGCATGTTCGAAGGCAGAGCTTAGATGAGCATGTTCATACATGTTTCGAACTCTGATTCAGATAGACAAATTCGTACGCATAAACTAGCTACGTTTTTAAGAATCTGTATAACCAGTTTTAAAGCATTCTTAACGGTTGTCTTGCAGTGTGTAAAACAGAAATCGTGTGTCGATCAATGGCTTTTAAGGTCGTAGATTTTATGGATGAAATACTTACCGGCCGTTCGGCGCCGATGGGGAATGGACCAACTTTACGGCGAACAAGAACTGTATTGCACACACGAGAAGACAGCAAAGGTTCAGTGAGAGCGTCAACGCGCACAATGCTAACGTCACTTCGTACACCACTGCAAACTCCTCGGGGGCACTGGTAGCGGGCGCGGAGATCTTCAGAAGGAACAGGAGCGCCAGAAGCGCTAAAAGTAGGCTCACGAGGCATAGCAGCGCTAGTGAAGTGAGGGCTTCTTCCGTCGCCGCTCGCGTGCTCCTCCCTCTCGCAGGTGCTGTCCTTGTTGATAATCCGGGAGCGTTGCCGTTGGCGATCTTCGGTGGTGACGCCACAGGTATCGGTTGTACCACCGGCACGGGGGCGGGATTTGAAGCCGGTTGGGCGCCAGGGCTGACGCTGGCGGAGGTACCGCCAACAGAGTGCTTTGAGGAATCTAGTGTCGATACGTTGAGGGGTAAGTGGTGGTGCGGCCGCCGCGGCATGTTCTGGTAACGGTGGTCAGCATCGCTCGCCGCCGGCGGCCGCTGCGCATGCTTCAACATGGCGCTGCTTTCACGCGGCGCGCCATTCCGCCGACTGGTTTTCTTGCATGCCTGCGCTGTGCCCTGCGTAGTGACGCGCTCGCTCGGCGCCGGTCGCGGCTCGACTGGCGACCGGCCCCCCTCGTACCTGCGTCCGCGCGTAATTATGTCAATCATGCACCGTCCCAGGGTGCATGCATACTGCGCCGACTGCAGGGGTACGCGTCTACCTAACCTACCCCGACAATAGAATAATGCCACTCCAACAAAACAATCAGCAACATTCTTCAACAAACAGCTCTTTATTCAATTGCTCTAATGTTTTGTAAACAAACTCGAGTGGGTGCTCACTTTGTTTTAGCTACCGAATACTTACGTGTTTAAACATACAAAATGTAATAGGTAGAAACTTATCTGTAAACGATCATAGATTATCTACTTTGGTTTACTTTACATCGCACGTTTAACAACATGCATCGGAATCTACCCGAATGGATTGATTCTTATAACCATTACTTTTCACTGCAAGTGTGAAAGCCTGATAAATACCAATGGTCCCAAGTGTTTGAGATGTGATTTGTGTACAAAACAAACATTATCAATGTTGCAATGATGAAAGGCCTTGCCGAAAAAACCTGTCCATTCGACAGAGCCGCCCTAAAGCCGCTCGCGCGTCAGACCGGCATTACAGTTATCACGGACATCCATCTCCAGGTAGGCAGGTCGACTACACATTTATATGCTTTGATATAATAACGACAGAACAGTATTTATTTATTAGAATATTGCAATAGTTTGTTTAAACTCAGAGAACTTTCTTAAGTATCTCTTCCATTTTAAGGGAGGTAGAGAACCGATATAAAAAAAAAGTTAGTGCTAAAATTAAAAAAAAATCACGACAGAAGTTTAATCTCAGTCAATTCCAAAAAAATGGGGCTTTTACTATAAAAGAAATTGAATATACATATGTACCAATTGAATCTTTTCTTGATTTACCGTTAAAATCTAATACCAAATCCAATTAAAAACCCCAGAACAAATATGTTTATAAATAACGTTTGTCATAAAAATGACTCTACCAAAATTCGGATCCAGAACCCAGAACCAAAAGGCACCCAAAAAACATTATGATTATTCCACAGAAATAGATCAAAATTAGATTTAGACGACCTCCGTGGCCAAGTGGTTTGTACGCCGGGTTTCATGGTGTCGCCGACTCGAGAGGTCCTGGGTTCTTATCCCGGTGGGAGGAGATGTTTGTGTGATGAATACGAGCATTTGTACTCGAGTCATGAATGTTTAATACGTATTTCTATATGAAAAATATACTTATATATGTACAATATATGTATTCCATCCATTACCCTGGCATCCCATAACACAAGCCTTACAGTGCTTACTTTGGGGCTAGGCTAATTGGTGTGAGTGAAAAAAATAACATTCCCAGAACGGTTGTTAACTTATACCCCCTTATTAATAAACCAAGAATAAGCTTACACTAGTAACGCTGTGTTTTGTTCATGTCACTCAAATGCCATTTGTCATTCAATAGATAGAGACAAAACATGGAGTAACTAATCCAAGCTTATTCTTCGTTTATTAGAAAGGGAGAAAAATAAATAAAACTAGTTTTAACGGCACGAAACTTTATTTATTTATTGACGTCTCGCAGCCTTTTCAGGTCGGCTTCGTCAGAATAAAGTCAGAAGCAGACCTGAAAAGGCTGCGAAACGTCAATAAATAAATAAAGTTTCGTGCATTAACCCGTTAAAACTAGTTTTATTTAATGAGTGATGTGCGTGAAAACCTAAGAAACAAATAAGGGAGATAAGTTAAAATATACATAACGACTCAAACGGACATTACTTACATCAAGTTAAACGCGAGAGTTACAGACAAATGTGCGTTCGATGAACTTCAAATGTTTGGACCGAAGTTAATATTCTCTTTATCCAGAAATATGCGGTGTTATTATTAACTGTGCTTAAGATAACTTGAAATTCTTGGCGGAATAAAAATACTTATCAGTGTGTCCCTATTCGTTTTATATTTTTTTTACAAGATGTAGGTCAATATTGACAATAAACTTTTTCCTTATGAAAATATTAAATGATTGAGATGTGCTAGTGATAGAGTCTGTGCGGAAAGAGAATGGGATTTAGATTGGAGGGCGCTGTAGTGCTTTCTACCGTATTTGGAAGGTTTACCCCACCAGGTTTAATGGTTTTACCCCTTTTAGACATGATTAAATACAAAAAACCGCAAGAAATCACAGCAACAAACAAACCCCTATCAATACAAAACTTTGACGTTTTACAGATTGCTGGGTTTGATTGCCAAATAAAAATCTTAATGTTAGTTCCGTTTTTCGCCACGCCCATTCTCTTTCCGCACAGACTCTAGTACTCTACTGATGTTTTTATTCAACTCTATATAACTAAAACACTGTTACAGCTGCACTTTGATGCATAAATAACTTTTTATTTTGATCAAATCTCTGTGCATAATGATACGGTGCATTAAAGACAACAAGAGATTTAATGAAGTAATTATGGGTATTTCATTGGAAAAAGCATCTGAATGCGTTTGAGGATCTCGATGGCGCGGGTGGTTAGAGCATTCGGCTGCGATCGTTGAAGTTATTTCGCAGTGGTCGGTCATTTGATGGGTGACCAAAAATCTTCTATCTCGAGTTCTCCCGTGCTTCGGAAGGCACGTTAAGCCGTTGTACCCGGCCGCATCTGCAGTCGTTAGCACCCGCCAATTCGCACTGCGCCAATCTCCCTATTCCATCCATAGGGTAGGCCTGTGCCCCGGAAGTGGGGGCATTAATAGGCTGATGATGATGATCTGAATGCTGCCGATGAACAGGTTACAAAATTCGAATGATTATCTAATGTTCCACTAAGAATTAATATGATTTAAGTTTAGTCATTTAGTTTTCTAAATGTCATCACTTCCAGGCATAGGCAATTATTACTAAAACTATACTTGTTATTAAAGTAAGAACAAATTAAGGCGTTTTCAAACACCTTGCAAACTATATAGGTATGAGAATAATTTAATAAGCAACTACTAAAGGTCTCTTAGATGACAAAAACTAGTAACTTTGCAAGCTGTATCCGAACACGTAATCTATCTATATATATAAAACTCAAAGGTGACTGACTAACATAGTGATCTATCAACGCACAGCCCAAACCACTGGACGGATGGGGCTGAAATTTGGCATGCAGGTAGATGTTATAACGTAGGCATCCGCTAAGAAAGGATTTTGATTAATTGGGGGTAGCCCAAGAGGATAAAATAGGGAATGAAAGTTTGTATGAAACTTTGTCAATTTTAAACTGATTAGGCTGAGACTTTGCATACAGGTATAAGAAGAATCATAGATGAATGTCATTGTGTATAATACAAGCCTGAGAACAAAAACTGTAGTCTACGCTTCAGCTCTACACCGAAGCGAAGCGAGGGCGGGCCGCTTGTTAGTACATATGTCTGCTATATTCATTTTATTTTTATGATTTTTATGGGTTTCGTGATCACAAGACTATCGTGATAATTAGCTTGTTGAAATTAAACACAGCTAAAGATGTTTAATATTATTTATTTATCTGTTATTGTTACATATTATAGGCTAATATTATCGAGTCGAATAATAGATTAATAAATATTTTTAACACACCAAATAGCCTAGCCCCAAAGTAAACACTGTGAGGCTTGTGTTATGGGATACTAGGGTAACGGATGTAATACATAATACTAATATATATAAAAGAATATTTAAAAAATATAGGTATATATAAACATGCATGACTTAGGTACAAATGCTTGTATTCATCACACAAACATTTGCACCATCGGGATTCGAACTCAGGACCGATTCAGTCGAGAAGGCACCATGAAACCCGGTGTACATACCACTCTGCCACGGAGTTCGTCATTGCCCAACATTCCTGTATACCTATAACAGTAAATATTATCAAAAGTAAAAGTGGATTTGTGTGATTCTGGCATGTACAAAAGTATCAAGATTACACAGACCCAAAATGTTCTATATTGTTCAACATGAAAACTTCATGCAAAATAAATTGCTTCGAACATCTTTACAGAATCGAAGTTGGGATCTTCTGTGAATTGCGGTTGGCATCAATTCTGATATACTACGCCGAATATAACTAGAATCATCATCATCATCATCAGCCTATTAATGTCCCCACCGCTGGGGCACAGGCCTTCCCTATGGATGAAATAGGGAGATTGGGCCATGACCCACCACGCGGGCCCAGTGCGGATTGGCGGGTGCAAACGACTGCAGATGCAGCCGGGACTAACGGCTTAACGTGCCTTCCGAAGCACGGAGGAACTCGAGATAGAAGATTTTTGGTCACCCATCCAATGACCGACCACTGCGAAAGTTGCTTAAATTCAACGATCGCAGCCGAACGCGCTAACCACTTGCGCCATCGAGCTCCTCACTATCTTTATATTTTAAGCATTGTGGGCTACCTACAATGTGGAGAGATGGCACTGCCTTGCATCTTAAGAAAGGCTAGAGAAAATTCGACACGGCCGTCAGGGCCGCAGTAGCATAATAGTCAGTGTATTCGCTCGGATAGCGCAGGGTGCGGATTCGAGTCCCATCTGCTGCATGGACCGAGTGGATTTTTTTGTAGAAAAAAAACTTTGTTGATTCAGTTTACTATCTCTTTTTATTGGTCACCCTTGCTTGCAGTATGAAGACAATTTTTTCAAAGTCTCTCCGCCTGACTCGGCGCGTGGTGTAGAATCACCTGGTTGCGCAGGTGCTACCATATCAAATTCTTTAGAAAAAAGTTTATATGACAATAAAATTTCAAAACCTGTTATTACGGTACGATTTAACTCTAAGTGCCGACTTAACTTTAGTGATAATATTTAACTCATTGGAAAAGAATTTGTAGGTATTTATAAGCTGGTAGTATGTATGCAATGGACCTTCGCTTCGCTTCTACGCTCAATATTGATAATTTTACAATTTCCTCTTCCTCCCATTGCATCGAGCTTACGTGATTATCACCCAAAGGACAAAGTTTTTCGATTAAATGCTTTTCAAATAAAGTAATGTCATCAGAGTCCATAATAACGCTATCATGGGTAGGCCCAAACGTACGCAATTTTTTTTCAGTAGTATACTCGTAAGTCATTTGAAAATTAGTAATTGTACCTACGGTAAAATTCATTCAGCGAAAATTAAATTAATTTTGCATTGTCGCCGAGCC